TTTTAATTTAATTTTATCATATTTAGGAGATGGGGCAAAATGTACAAATAAGTGTGATAAAATAAGTAAATAAGGGATTATATATGTAATTTAAATGGAATGCTTTAATTGAAGTATAATGGATTATCTTTTTAGGTCACAAAATGTACACTCTATTGGTGAAAGTACTATTATTGTTCTCAATTATTGTGTGTGTGTGTGTGTGTGTGTGTGTGTGTGTGTGTGTGGGTGGGTGGTGGGTTTGAAGATAGTCCTTGTTCCCCAATCATTGCAGTTTGACATGAAATTCTCCTAAACGATTTTCGTGCCTGAATAGTAGAGATGGGGCCTTTTTCAGTGTTAAAAAAAGGTATAGTGGTGAGGCCTTTTTCAGTGTGCATGGGTCGGTTCGCAACCAAGATGGGGCCAATTTGAACTTGGCGTGATTGAATTGGCTATGACTATTTGAATATTAATGAGATATAAAAACTCATATGGAATAAATAGTACCGCTCACCTGCCCACGACCCACCACTTTATTTTACAGGAAAAACATATTTTGAGAATACGTTTTTTAATTAATTTAATTGAAAAATGTATTCTCAGAATACGTTTTTCATATAAAACAAAGTGGTGAGCACTGCCCGCAGGGGATCAAAATTTATTGAATAAAATCATATATTTTTGTCCACAAGGGGTATGGGTTTAGGCTAATTAATGTATGGATGAAATAAAGAGAAGGGTCTGACATTTCATATTTCGAGACCAATCTTATTCATTGGTATAACAGAGTTGTGCCATGAGAGATGTGAACAAGCCGAACTGACTCGATGTTGGAATATCATTTATGAGTTGTCTCATATTGATTTTAATTGGGTAAATGAGTCTAGTTTATAAGTCTAGTGGGTTACTCTTCTCATCACAAATTAGTTTTGAGATGTAACATCACTATGGTGCATCTAGACTCACTCTTTTATAGTGTGTTTCACATGTGTGAGACTGCACCTCTGTTTCCCTATCATAAAAAAATTGACACTTGAATCGAGTTCGAGATCCTGATATCCGATTTTAGGCCTGAGATTCAGGGTTTGAGCTCGATTTGACTTGTTAAGCCTAATGATTTGATAAACGAGTTCGAGTTCAAGTCAATAATGAGCAAGCTCAATTATGGTGAAACTTAGAAAAATTACGTAGAGTTATGTTGATCAGGTTTAACGAGCTTTAAACGAGCTCAAGCTAAATGAGTTGAATCGAATTCGAACTTTAACGAGCAAAAGAACTCATGAGCGACTCGTTATGGATAGATCTGTAATGACACTAAAGTACAAAATTAAGAAATTTTAAAAAAGAAAAGAAAAGGAAAACCCCGTTTCCAAATTCCAATTCTAATATTTTGGTACATAGGAACTGAAATCTATCCAAGTATTGTTTGTTAAATTTCCAAGACTTGTGTGTTGGAGAACTAAAAATTATCAAGAGGGAGCTATTTGAAGCATGACAGCTGGTGAGTCATGCAGAAAATTAATACTTTTTGGCCTATGTTGGGACAAATTAAAGTTACAATACTAATTCAATAAATTAAACTAGTACTTCTAGTTTAATATGGAGAATATTTATGCATAATAGTACAAACAAAACCATGTATATTAAATTCTTGATAATGATTGTTCATTATTTTTTTTAATGTGAACACTCCAAGTTTTGAGGATGACCAAAAAAGCATATAGTACTTAATTTGAACATGTAATTAATCAAATCAGCTAAGTAGTAGTAGTACTAATAATAATAATAATGTAGTAGTACTACTACTACTACTAATAATAATAATAATAATAATAATAATAATAATAATAATAATTGTCCACAAAATTACCTGAATTGCTCTGTATACGGCAGCCTGGAGTTGATCGACTTGGCCCCCGTAGGCGCATAATTAAACAGGCTGACCCACGGCTGTCGTGGGGCCCTCAGCCGTCTCTTCCGGGTGGCAGCCACCGCCACTCGGGCCACGCTCGTGAACGGGCTGCCCTCCGGCGGCACCACCACGTAAATATTCGTCCCCACGAAGAAAAAGAAGCACGAGACGAACATGAAGGCAGCCGGAATCCCAAGCCCGACCGACCAGCTCACGTCCGATTGCACGTAAACGACTAGAGTCACCGCCACCATCTGCGCGAACGTGAGCGTGAAAAAGTACCAATTGAAGAAGCTGTCGATGCCCCTCTTGCCCGACTCTGTTCCCGGGTTGAACTGGTCGGCCCCGAACGCGAGGTTGCAAGGCCGAATAGCACTAGCACCCAACAACAAGAGCCCGAAGCCCGATAAAAGGAAGCCCGTCTGTCCCGGTGTGGGCCCCACGCAGTGGACGTCGTCCGGGCCGCAGTGTGGCGGGTGCAGGTTCTTGAATGCGGCCGTCAGGGTTATTACTGCTAAACCCTGTTTTTTTTTTTTTTTGGTATAATTCAGTCATCAGATAAGTGACACGTGTGTAAAATGGAATTTTCAAACATTTATCTGTCCTTTTCAAACATTCGTGGAATTACCAAATGAAATACAAGAACATAATAAATAATATGGAGATGCTACAGTCCCGTTACGGAATTATTCCGTCAAGGTTTGTAACCGTTAGATCAACTTTTCCCGACGATTACATGATGATTCAACGATTACAAACTCCGACAGAATGGTTTCGTAACGGAACCGTAGCGTTTTTCAATAATATATGTGTGAGTATGGTCCAATTAGTATTTTTTTGAAATTAGTAGTTGTTAGATATATGACACGTGTATAAAAGAAGTTTTTACGAAATGAAATACATACAGAATGGAACATAATACACGTCGCGTATATACGGAGTAATTTTACCAGAGTGGAGGCGATGGAGCCGAAACCGAGCATCTTGTATCGCCCGAAAAACGTGTCGGAAAGGAAGGCACCGACTAATGTGGCCAAATTCGTGGTGCCATTGAACACATTGAGAAGATTAGTCGCATTAATGCGCGACATGTTGAAGACTGTTGTTAGGTAGATCTGAAGATTGAAGAGAAGCCCAAGTGCTCCAAGCTTCTCAAAAGTCTCATTCCCTATTTTAGTTTTTACAATTATTTATTCATATAAAAAAAAAAAGTTTCTAAATTATCAAAAATATAAAGGTCCAATAAATAATTAAATAAAAATTATTGAATGGTCCAATATGTATGTAATTTTTGTGTTACCTATAATATATGGCATGGCTTTGATTCCTCTGTAATTGATCTCAGGCTCTTCTTCATCATTTTTCTCCACAACTGTGTTCTTTTGTGAGGCTTCCATTGTTGAAGAGTAGCAGAAATTTAGGTGGTAAGAAGATGATGAAAATGAGATGAGAATTAATCACTCACTTTGTAAGAGTCATATAAATGTGTGTGTGTGTGATTTGGTTGGCCACATGTTTGAGTTGTCCCCTACCTTGATTTGTTTTGTCATGATTTAGGTGGGATTGGTAGATTTCATTTAAAATTGGTGTTTAATTTATTTTCTAATAAAAATATGAGGGGCTGATTGAATTATATTCATATATATATACATATATATAGAAAATTGCTGAGAGATAGGACCAAAAAAAAAATTAAATTCTCTCAACTTTTTAAATTTTTCAACTTTGTTTTATTTTAAGGGATAAGTTTAAGATAAGAAACATTGAAAAAATGGTTCATTGTATTTTTATTTTTATTTTTTATTTTTATTTTTTTTCACCTTAAAAATAGGGGAAAAAGCCATCATAAAAAAGCATGGTTTAATTGCTCAGTGTTTGTTAGCCAGCCCCTTTAAAAGTATAGATAGATATATAATAGTATTGTGGTAGAATAATTGGATTAAATGAAAGTTAGTAACCTTATGTTATAATATTATACTTTATTAATATGCATTTAATTGCTCAATGTTTGTTAGCCAGTCTCTTATTTTAAAAGTATATATAGAATTACATATGGAATAGTATGCTGGTAGAATAATAAAATTAAATGAAATTTAGTAGGTCCTTATGTAATAATATTATCTTTATTAATTTGCTTGTTGGTACACTACTGTTAGGCTGCAAATGGGCCGAATCGAGTCGAGCATTGGCCTTATCGAACAGAATTAAGTTTTTTTTTTTAGCTGCTTGAACTCGAGCTCGATTTTTTAGGCTCGAGCTCGACTCGATAAAAAATTACAATGGAGCCGTGCTCGACTCAAAATCAAAATGCTTGAGTTCGGCTTGAAAATTTTTAAATGGAAAGGTAAAATTACCATTAAGTACCTATGCTAATATATATAATAAGGGGTATTCTAGTAATTTAACGTGTATCTCGAGTCGCTCGACAAAGTAAACTATGGGCTCGAGTTCGACTCGAGTTCGTGCTCGAGCCGCTTGAACTCGATTCGAGTTCGGTCAAACTCGAGCTCGAGTCGAACTTTGACTCGAGCACTCGCGAGCTGCTCGCGAGCAACTTGATTCATTTGCATCCCTTGTATTGTGGACTTAATCGCGGCGTTATCTTTGTTCTATGCTCATGATTAGACATATAGATCATTAGGCAATTCTTTTCGGAAATTGATTACACCACTAAAAGCTATATCAAATTCTATCTAAGTGAAAATCCACATGAAAAAAAAAAAAAAAAGTAGTTATATTATAATTTCTACGAATTCAACAGGTCTTGTTTCTTAAATAAATTATCTCATTCAATCATTTTAGGCCCAGTTAATCAAAATACATAATGATATTAAGCCCAAATAAAATGTGAAAATGGGCTGGTATTGGGCGCCCCCATAGCTATTGGCTGAACTTTGGTTTAATATCTCGCCAATGAGAACACTCCAATATTCTTAAAATAAACCATAATCGCCCCTATATATAATTCCCGAATGCGCTGAGCCTACGTGGCTGCTTCTGGTGCTTCAAAATCCTACTTGGCGAAGAATCATGCTTCGTAATTAGGTTCGGACAAATAATATTGATATATTAATAATTAATATCTAGGTTCGGACATTCCATAAATATTATTTAGCTAACTTAGGTATTTTAATATCACTTGTACTAATATAACCCTTTAATTCTTTGTAATTTTACATAGTAAGACACTAAGTGACTAATATATCTCTGACTTTTGATTTGTTTCCTTCAATTAGCTATTGAATTATAAATGTAATTTAACTTTTGTATTTCTTATCGGTTTTACATATATAATATATCAAATTAATCATTTTTTCATGATCTTCGATTTGACATCTAATACAAGTCTAACGCTCGCCCGACCGAGAACCGCAACAAACACGACTTCCTCCACCGGTCGAACGCTGAACCTGCACGAAAACTCTCACACCGGAGGTATTTTCCG